CGCATCGGGCTCCCTGCTCGGCGGAAAGCCTGCTTCTCCCTCTCCCACTCCCCCTGCTTGTGTTCCCTCTTTCGCTGTGCCTCTCTCTGTCAAATAAATAAATAAAATCTTTAAAAAAAAAAAAAATGTGACCTTTGTATCTGTTTTTTTTTTTCACTTAGCATAATGTTTTGAAGGGTAATCTATGTAGCATGTACCAGTACTTCATTCCTTTTTATGGCTGAATAATATTGTATGTATATGTCACAATTTGTTTATTCATTCATATGTTTATGGACATTTGGACTGTTTCTACTTTTTGGCTATTCTCAGTGCTTTTATGGGCATAGATATACATGTAGTTGTTTGAGTGTTTGTTTTCAGTTCTTCGAGGTGTGTACCTAGGAGTGGAATTGCTGAATCATATGGGTAATTCTATATTTAATTATTTAAGGAAACATCAAACTGTTCCCATTTTTGGTACTCTTAATTTCTTTGTGTAGATTCAAATTTCTATCTGTTATCACATATTTTTTCCTGAATGATTTCCTTTAACACTTCTTATAGTAATGGTTTGCTTCAGTGTATTCTCTTAGTTTTTGTTTGCCTGCAAAATCCTTACTTTTTGTCCTTGTTTTTGAAAGGTATTTTTTCTATGTATAGAATTCTAGGTTGACAGATTTTTTTTTAAAGATTTTATTTATTTATTTTGACATAGAGAGAGAACACAAGCAGGGGGAGGGGCAGAGGCAGAGGGAGAAGCAGACTCACCACTAAGCAAGGAGCTTGACGCAGGGCTTGATCCCAGGACCCTGGGATCATGACCTGGAAGGCAGATGCATAACTGACTGAGCCACCAGGCGTCCCTAGGTTGACGAATTTTTTTCCCCCATTTCAGTTATTTTAAAGATGTTGTGTCTATGTTTTCTGGATTGTATTATTTCTTATAAGAAGTGTGATGTCAAAAAAAATTTTTTTAATTAAATATTTAATTAATTAAATAATTAATATGCAAAGACAAACTAGGAAAAACAATTTATAATCTATGTGAAAATGAAAATCTAGCTTCCTTAATATATAAAGAGCTTTCAAAATCAATTAGGAGTAGGCCAATAACTTGTTTGCAAAGAATACAATTCACAGAAAAAAAAAATGGATTTCAAACATGCAAAAGGATACCCAGCCCTACATACCAAACAAAATACCAGTTAAAACTAGGAGTGCAACCATTTTTCATTTAGCAGATTGGCAGAGACCAAAGAGTTTGAAAATATGTTAGGGATGACAAAGATGTGGAAA